CAATGGGGAAAAAAAAAAAAGCGCTGAGGTCAGGAGAAGCTTTGAGGCTGGTGTCAGCCCCCTCCCCGCTATTTTCAGCAGGGAGCCGCAGCCCTGGTTTGCCGGCAGCATGAGTGGGGCTCTGCCCGCAGAGGGTTGCTAACCCTGTTGGGGGAGAAATGGAAGGGTGTGTTAAGACCCAGGTATTTCTTTTCAAACTTTCCAGCCAAAAAATAATCATAATTTAGCCAAGTGTATAATGTGGTGAAGAGGATTTCACTTACAGACCCCTGCTTGCTCTCTCTCCAGGGGATGATGCCCGGCTGGGTAACGCATCCATCCCGGATGCTGCTTCGCCACTGTTCTCCCTGAAACCCGGTGGGAACTCCCATGCCCTGTGGCCTTTGGCATTTTTTGTTAATAAGAAGGTTTAAAAAAAAGAGATGCTTCTGTCTTGGTCTTAAATCAAAGCATTTTGGTTTGGATTTAATTAAATGATAACTTTTTGGGGGCTGAAAGCAAACCTTTGGGTGGGGGCTGCTTGGATTTCAGGGCATTTCCAGCACCCCTGAATGCCACTTTGAAGAGAAGAAGTGATTAGAAGGCAGACCATCTCTCTGTCGATGCAAAACCCAAAGCTTTCAGATTTCCTCACTTCTTACTTACTTTCATGAGGAACCTGGCAAAATTCAAACAAGTTGGGAGATGTTTTTGGCATCACAAGATCTGTCTTTTGGGTCCATATATCCTGGGGAGGTGGGGAGCGCTTCATCCCCAGCATTATCTCCTGGAGACACAGCGACTCCCAGGTGCTGGGCAGGTATGTCGGGGTGTAGAAGGGTATCTGGGGAATGATGTTTATAAACCGGGCAGAAGATTGATCTGTGTGCACAACAAAGATCAGCTTCTGCTTTTGCCCTTCGTTTTCGTCCCATGAGCTATTTTGGAGTGGAAAGACCCATTTTTCCCTTTGCTGGACCCAAACTCTGCATGCCTGAAGGGCCCCAGTGTGCAATTCACAGCATCTCTGATCAACATTAATTATTCCCTCTTATTAATAATGTGAGACCCCATATCTGTGTGCCCTGGAAAGTCTGGCGGCTTCGTGCTCTGCTCCCAGGATAAATGGCAGGTGAATAAAATTAGGAGCTGTGAGTGTGCACCATCTAAGAGCCTTAACTGGCAATTCCCAGAAATGGCAGGGAAATAATTCAATATTGTTTATGTGATGCTGCTATGTTGGAGCCAGGCTTGGATCACAGCTCCCTGTGGCGCAAGGAGTTGCCCAAGGCGCACCAAAGGGGGTTCTTGGTCCCACCCCCACCATGATTAGGCTCCAGACAGGGCACTGGAAGCATTAAAGGGATGGATTTGGGAGAGCTAAGGTGATGAGAAGGGTCTGGGTGCTTCGCTTTCCTCCCCAGGTTCCCCATCCACATGCTCCTGGGTGGGAGGAGGGTGGGTGTTCCCAAATGGCACCTGCAAATGCCCCTCCCCCCCCAAGTCTGGCTGTCACCCTGAGGTGGTGGCAGGACCAAGGAGACCGTTCAGGGTGCTTTGGGTGCCAGTAAAGCTGCCTTTGGCCCCAGTGCTGGAGAAGAACAGTGCTCATCTGGCTACTCTTTTTATTTTGCTGAAAAAATGGCAGTTTTGGGTTGAGAGAGGGAAAAAAGACACCGGTTCAAGGTCAAGCTCCAGTGGCTTTGGCCAAAAAACCAGAAAAGTAACCCCACACAGATGAATCAAAGCATCCGACCTCATGGTCCCGGAGGGAGATTTTCTTTCTTCTCTTTACCCAAACCCAGAGCCAGAAGCTGGCTGCAGTCATGGAGAAATGTGTGGCTGGGACACCCTTCCACCCCGTGCTCGCTGCTCTCCATGGCTCTGGTCTCAGCCCTTGCCTGATTTTTCTGCCCCTTTTCCTAGCCCCATCCTCAGTTTCCAGCATTTTGGCTATTGCCCTGCTCTGCAGTGCCACCCTTGGCCCTCCTCTTCCCCCCTCCATCACGAGGATGAGGAGCGTCTGAGGATGCTGTGGGATGGAGCATCCCTCGGGGACGGCTGGAGGGCTGATCCGAGAGCTGGAGTTAATGCGAGCGCTGCAGTTTGCTCACCACACGATGTACAAATCTCATCTGCCAAGCATGTAACCTGGGATTGGGTCGCTGGGAAAGAGAATTTAATCATTTGTCAGGGTGTGTTCCCC